GTTACTTTTTGTATTTTTCTGTTTTACCTCGTCTAGTATTTCAGCTCTTGATAGATCATTAAAAATAATCTAAAAAGGCTTTCAAAATCCACATGAAAGTTGCTGTGATAGAAGCCACCTTGGTAGTTGAGTGGTTGCAAGTGATATGTTGTGGCCTTTGCTCAGTTAATGTCTTGAAAAGGACAACAAACTTCAGCTGCCTACATTTGATGTGTAAAACTTGGACTGGAAAATTATTTAACATCATCTTAATGCTCGTCCTGGCAGATTATTCAGATTGTGGTTGAATTTGTCACCTTTAACCCATTGGATCTGGTTGCATCATAGCAGTCACTTGGCCAAAATTGGGCAGTGGGTTAAGTAGGTGCATTCAGCCAGACACGTGCAACACTCATGTGCAGTGACAAGGCTGTGCCTCCCCTTTGCAAACTTATTTTGCATAAACATTTTATCTTTTATGTCATATTCCAATATCCATATTTGTCTTTTGATTGCTTTATCCAGATAATGATAGATTATTTTTATGCACAGACTCCATATCATCTCTGTGTAGTAAAATAACGTGGTTCAAGAAAAATAAAATGAATTTTTTTATTTGTTTCATATTGATTTATTTTTTTGTAATTTTCAATTTTCTGAATTACTACAGCAGCCAGGAATATGATCCTGAGCATGGAATTGGTGTCCTCCCTGGAGCCAGCACTCTTCCAGTCACGGCTTACGCACATTACATTCCATACTCATATATCATTGGAATATTGCAAAAGACCCTTCAAATGCCAAATGAGTAAACACAGTTCGCATCACCTGGCCCTCAAGCCAAATTTTTCCATTGCATCATGTCACCCGAATCATACAAGTTAATGTAGTGCCAAAAACAAGTAGGCCACAACAGGTTACTCACTTGCAGATGTGAGGTGTTCCCCTAGTTATAATCTTGTGTCATTATGATTATGAATGGAATAGAAAAATATGATACAGTAGTACACAATACAGTAATAATTTTAGCTTGTTTGTAGTTCTCTGAGAATACAGTGGATGATTTATGAGAACAATTTGGTTTGTTGGACAAGATGTAGATCCTATAAAGGGAACATAGTAATGTTGCACTATTGACAGTTTGAAACTCCTTGAAGATTATTTCTAAATTTTATGTAACTTGGTATCATTTCTGAAACTGCTTCAATAACTTTAGTTTAACGTCAAGAATTGCAAGTCCCAAGATGCAAAAAAAAAAAAGGGGCACATTTTAATTGCAGGCATATTAACCCATTAACGCTGGTATATTTTGAAGCCAAAATAAAAGATTCCGCAGCTATAAAATCGGTGGGTGGAGCTTCCCTGGAGTCTGTTTGCCGGCTGGCCGCGGCTCGCTGCTGCATCGGAGCGCGAGCCCCAATACAGCGTCACAAAGGCGGGCCGCCGCAATGTTTATTTTTTCAGGTGTCTTATATGTGGGACACCTTCATGAATGGCTTAAAAGCTAGATTTTTCACACCAGAAATGTATAGTTTATTATCATATATTGGATAAAAAGACATCAGTAAAACTGTAAGGTTGTTGTAAAAGCTGTCGCAGTTATCCACACCACAAAGTGCTGCTGTAGTACATGATAGTATAGTATTTAGGTGAGGAATATGAGAAGGGAAAAGAACAAAATTACCAATTCACATTCAATACTTTCCATTTACAAGCAGAGATAGATGGGAAATAATGGCTGTATGATTGACACAGAGAAGAGATGGCCTACACAGAAAATGGGGGAATGAGGGGGATATCTTAGTTGTAGGTGAAGGAAACTGGCCAGACAGTATCAATATAGACATATGTTGTTTCTTGGATGATGAAAAGTTTGCAGAACACCCCCCGCCCTATAAGTTTCTGATATGCATTCCTTGATAGTGGCAAATAGTAAAGTACACACGTGATACAGATATCCATATTTGTGGCAAGTAGGACTTCGAGTTTAAGTACTAATAGGGAGGAAGAGGTTTCTATTGTGCCAAAAATCATTAAGCCAAACATAATCAATGACTCTCCTTCTCTCCCTATCCCTCTCCCACTCCAACTCCCTCTTCTGCTCCCACTCCCACTGCCTTTCCCCTCCATTCTCTTCCTCTCCCTCCATGCCTCTCCTTTCTCACCCTCTTCTCCTACTCCTACTTCCCCCTTCTTACCTGCTCCCTTCTTTCTTTTCAATTTTCTTTAATCAGTTTGTTGAGGGGCATAGTCTATCTTGTAAATTAAGTCATTAAGTGTTCTTCATATCCTCCAGCTTTTAGGTTTGGCCCGCCACATTGCTCCAGAAATGAAGAAGAAGCGATTTGTATGCAATCCTTGCTATTACATCATCCGCCGTAACTACAAGAACAAACTCCTGAAAGGCACGTCAATTGAGGCCGTGGCTTCCAGTGGAGCAACCAATAGTAAACCCCCACAAAACCCCATTCACCGGGCCACCACTCAGGAACATGCAGCTGAAATTGTAAGTAGAGAACTGGGCAAAACCCATTTGGTGTTAGTTTATTCATGTTTTTTTTTTAATTATTATTTTTTTTTGTGGGTGACAGAAGGGTTATATTGAAAGTCTTTTGATTGTCTGAAGTCTTTATATACTAAGGGTGATCCATTTACATGTTTGAACCATTTAACCCATTAGATCCAGTTGTGTCAAGGAAATCACAGTGCCAAAAATATGGACAGTGGGTTACATAAGTAACCAATATCCCAGGCGTGCAGCCTGTAGGCCGGGCACATGCAAGCCCTCATGAGCAGTGATAAGGCTCTGGTCCTCCCTTTTGGAAAGTTATTTTTTGTAAACTTTTTAACTCACTAACGCCAGTATATTTTGAAGCCGAAAATAATAGTTTCTGGGCGGCTACAAAATCAGCGTGTGGGGCTAGCCCGGAATCTGCCCGCGAAATTGGAGTGCAAGCTCTGATCCAATGTCAGACTGGCAATGTTTATTTTGCCGGGCATCTCATACGTGGGACACCAGTCGTAAATGGGTTAAGCCTTTTTGCATTTTTCCAATGTTCATATTTGTCCTTTGATTTCCTTTATCCAGATGGTAATTGCTTATTTTCCTTGCACATACTCCATATCATCTATCTGTGTGGTAAATAACATTGCAAGAAAAAAAAATATGTATGGAATATTTAGTTATTTGTGTCATTTATCTTATTTTTTTGTAATCTTCAATTTTCCATAATTCAGCCTATGCCGCAGTCACAATGGCAAGGAATACAGTGCACAGCATAGAAATGGCGTCCTCTTTGGAGCCAGTGCTCTTCCAGTCACGCCTTAGGCACATTATATTCCACATTTCTTTTTCAAAGGGAATAATGCTTAAGCCCCATTCTAAGTTTCAAATGAGTCTAATCACACTCCAAGTGGTTTGTGCACTCTTGCGAGCTCCTCCGTAACCCTATCCTTCACCTATGACAGCAAGTTCACGTCACCCAGCCTGTGGCCATTTTGTCTAATGATGGCATGTTCACGACACATGCCCTTGACCCAGATTTTCTATGACGGGACCATAATGTCATCTGGGTAGTAGGGTTAATTTCAAAGTGTAACCAGTTTACCTTTAAAAGTAATTAATCATATATTTTGAATTTCCCCTCTATTTTTTATTTTTCATCATATATAAAGAATGTTTTATCGCATTTCTAATTTGCAGGCCAAGTTGCTTCCACCAGCCCTAGCAGAATGTTACAAGATCTTAACGGGTGACAGTGATATGACCGAAAAAGAAGTTTTGCCTCCTGTGGACACGAGTCAACAGCAGAATATCGCAGGTCACTTACTAAGTGAGAACCAGAAAAACAGTCAGCGATTTGAAACTGGAAGTGCTGATGATGAAGTGTACACAGAAAATGATGGAGATGAGCATTCAGCAGGGACGGAAGCAGAGGATGAGGATAGCGGATTTAATGTCTCTCAGGATAAGTTCGGAAATTATGTGATCAATATGGATGAGGTGGCTTCACCTGGAGTAGACGATGACCAAACTGCAGAATCCAAAAGTCCTCTTCCCACCATGTCAAAAGACATGCATATAAATAGAAAAAAGAATGTCCTGTTACCAAAGCGTCGGCAGCATCACCTGTCCATGGAACAAGATAGTGAAGGGAGCCAGCCCGAGAGTGACTCTCAGTCCTTGCCAGTGAAAGATGTAAATGGTACACAAAGTACCACAGGTGGTGAAGATGGAAGCTTGACTGGTGTCTGTAACATTTGTGGGATAAAGTTTACAGGGAAGCCAACAACCTGGTGGTACAGTCTGAACAGTCTACTGGCAGGTTTTGAGAATATCACAGTGACAATTGCATTACGGGTTAGTAATTTTAATTTGTCAGATACGATTGGTAGTTAGTTTTAAATCATTTGACAGTGCCAGATACAGAATTGCAGTTCACATGTTTGAAATATTGTTGCTTATGGCAGTACATGGAATAAAGGTAGTTTCCAGATGTTAATTAATAATAACATATCATGGCTTTGATGCAGTTGCTAGAAACATCTTTGGCTGCCACCAGTAAAGAAGCCCGCATTGCCAGACAGGTGTGTCCCATGTGCTATGGAATGGTCTCTGCAGGTTTCAGGTATGTCTTTTTTTTTTCTTCTTAACTCCTTGACTATGATGTCCATAGAAATAGATAAATTCTCGCTCCTCTCCTCTCTCCCTTCTCCCTTCCCTCTCTCCTCTCTCCTCTCTCTCTCCTCTCCTCTCTCCCACTCCTCTCTCCTCCTCTCCCCACTCCTCTCCCCCTCTCTTCTCATATTGAAAAAGAAATGTTAGATGAGATAAGTGAATAGAGATATAATTATTAAGAATAAATTTGTGTGTTTGATATTATTGATGATTTACTCAGTAGGCACCCCCCCTTTTTTTATTGGTGTCATTATGTTGGCATGTTAAGAAAAAGTACCATTGGTTACAATTTTGAGTTTTGGAATCTGAAAAAATCTCTGAAGGCTTCAAATACTTCACAGGATCAGAGTTTAGTTAAAGGGGACTATGGGGGGGCATATTGTGGGGGTTGATAAGTGTGTGGGAAATGGTTTTATGTGGTGAGTAGTCAGCTGTCATCTGGGGGCAGTTGGGTAATTTGTTATACTACAATTTTAATTTTATAGGAACTGAAAAAGAAGTAAATAATAAAACAGTGATATGCATGCATTACAGGGGGCTCCTTGGCTTCCTGTTATCAAATAGATGTTTATTTTTTGGTGAAAGGCAGAAAGGTTAGAAAGAATAGTTAATGAGTGAGCAGCATGCCAGGCAGCAACCCTCGCCTGCATTTGCTTCAGTGCAAGAGGGTGCATTTCTCACAACTCTTACCTGTACCCAGAGATGGGTGTGGGGGAGCCTAAAACTAAGGTCACACTAGTCTTCTCATCTTGGGATCCCTAGGCAGCCTCATCAAAGTCTGTCCAGCTACACCTTTTGATTGGTCAGCCGACTTGACTTCAGCAAGGCTGTCTAGGAATCCCAGGACAGTGGGACCCTAACTAAAGGCTAGATTACCATTATAACCAGTTGAGGTTTTACTCTTTATATCGTGAGGAAATGGAGTTACAGAACAAATTCACAGTTCTGTAACTGGATTTACAACAATGGTTATAGTTATATCTGTGTTTTTATGTCGTCTTCTAGAGATTTCAAGAATTATTCTAACCAATATGTGCACCAAGAAATTATTTGGTTGTTTCTCCATGCCTACTAAGAAATACTCCAATTTGCATTATTTCCCATTTGATCTTGGAATATCCTTTATAAGTTAGTGTAAATAGTAGATTTTTTAATAAGGTATGCATGGAATATTAATGCATATAAATGTATGATACAGCAAGTAACTGGATTGATACACAATTTTTTATATGAGGAAATTTATTTCTGCTAAAGAACTTGGTAGTGTTGAGTATGTGACATACAGCTAGAATTTTTTATTTTATTTAATTAACTTATTTATTTTTTACACTGCCAACCTACTTATTTTTCATAGGCATTATTTTAACTACCTTATCAAAGTAGTTGGTTATCTGGAACATTTTGAAATATTGCTCAGGTAGGCCTGTATTAGTCAAGATTACTTTGAGTTGATTTACCCATTATTGCTTAAACTTGTGGGTACAGTCCACACTGTCTGTTAAAGAATGGCAACACACGGGAGCTACACTGTCAGTAGTGTGGTCAACTTTGTTGTCTTTAATTTATTCTGAAGCATGGCCTTGTAATTGCATTATTTCTTCTAAGCATAAAGCAGTAACAAATGTCTTCAGCAATGTCTCCTACCCTAACCACGGATTTATGTACTGTCCCCTGTAGTTATTTGTGAATTTTGTTACATACAGATGGCTCCACTTCCGCTCAGCCACCATGGATTCCCTTGTGATCACGCCTGATTTCCTCCTTCCCTAAAATAGTGGGAATATATGTTTTTCCTTCTAATACTATTAATATTGATAATGTTATTATTCTTATTGATATTCTGATTATTAAAATGTTAATGACATTAAAGACAAGAAGGTAATACAAAAGAAGCTTTCCAAAAATCAAGGAAAAGGGTAAACAGGTGAATAGGTAGGACTAATAACTGACTCTTTGGTGACAAAGCACTTGTAGAGCCATCTTGTGTATAAAGGCAATGCATTAATTTGAATTACTTTAGGTATGCCATGTATTTTTGCCATCCGAGCTGATTGGGTTAACCAGTAAGGCTAGACAGCATAGAGGAGTTGTTAGCTTTGGAAGATTCATTTATCTTTCATAAATTTTTTCTCTTCCCTTAGGGATATTGGGCAGCTATGAATTGCCATGAATTCATTAGGAGTCCAGATCCCCCCTTTTCTTTTTTTCTTTTCTTTCCTTATGTTTCCTTTCCTTTCTTTCTTATTCTGTATAATCATAGTAGAGAAGTTAAAGCTTGTATCAAACATGTATTTCCTTAAAGTGTGACAGTGACTATTGTTAATTTAATTTCACTTCTTTTTCTTTCTCTGAAGGTCTCAAGTAACTCAAAGAGTAGAGCAACAGTTACATGTAGACCCATCTCAAGTGAATATTTCCAAAATGAAAGTGCAAACAATTCCTAGACCAAAATTGAAAAACACTAATGAAAAGGAAGTGGTTCCTACTCAGTCTCAAAAATATGTAAATGAGGACATAAATAATATTAAAAGGCAAAAGAGAAAAAGCATTGAAGATTCCTCTGAGCTTAGCAAAGCCAAGAAAACTAAAGATGAGTCAATGTGGAAAATCGGATTCCTCGTAGGGGAAAGAATGTGGTCCGTATTAATAAAAGAGGAAGGAAGAGAAAGCCCATTGGAAAGGTGCAAGAACAGACAAGTAGAGAACAACAGTTGAGCGTTGACAAAGACAGTGATGCTGATGACTCCAAGCCTCCAAAGCCTATCGTCTTGTTAGAGGATTTGCGTTCAGTCCTGCCAGCAGAGGTCTTTGGGGGGAAGCCAGTGTCAGCACTGAAAATTGAA